ATATATATGAGGCCTCTCGAGACAGTGAGTAGTGTGGAGTGGAGACACAGAGAGAAGCAGAGGCACAGAGACAGGCTAGGTTCTCTGTGTTTCCTGTTGTTGCAATAAAACTCAGCTGATCATCCCACGGAGTACCTTCATTCTTGGACCACGTATTTCTGTCTTTGTTAAATAAATATCACCATAACAGTCATCAACTTATAAACTTATTGACACACATTGCTCTGAGGTTAAAAAATTAAAAGTGTGCTGATTTTATTTTTTGCTTCATAGATTTCATTTTAAGTGAGCTGCAGAGCTGATCACATAATGCTGCTGCAGCCGCTCTTCACTCTATTAAAAAAAGTTTTTTTCTTCTTTATTTGCTTTCGCCTTGTTTATCACAGTCTAAATTTAGCGTGATGAGCACGTCTGGGCAGTTGTGCTGAGCGGCACAAATCAATGTTTCTTTACTTGCTGCCCAGAGGGAAATGCAATCCTTTTTTTTTGCTTGCAGCAACAACTTGAGTGATCTACGGTCCCGTTGCTCCTCTGGAACCTCTGTGGCAACAGGTGGACTTTTTTTTCTTTTTTTTTTTTAATGTTGCATCTGAATGTGTGGGAGCACAAAGGGATACAATTTATCTTCTTTATGGGTTTCATTGAGGATGTGGTGATGGAGATGGCATGTAAAAAGTTGAGCTTTTGTGGTGAGGGGTGTGTTCACGTCACAGGCCGCACTTACACTAATTTTATCATCGCATCATTACAAACCAGACTCATTAACAAGCTGAGTTTTTCAACAGAATCAAATAGCTTAAACCTAACAGTTTGTTTCTGGTCATCTGTAAACTGTTTTGACCACGCCTCTGACTCGATGCAGAAACACCTCTTCAGGAGCTTCGCACCACTGCTGGATAATTGAAGGGTAGTTGAATATCTGGAGGAGCTAATTGGCTGCTTCAGGAGGCAAATTCTGTCCCCGTCCTTTATCACAGCCGGCGCCCTCATTAGTCAGAGCTGATGAGTTTGGCAAGGTCGAGTCAGGAACGATCTTCAATTAGACTTTTAGCCAGCCGGCCCTCTCAGCAGTCCATGTGGTTTTTATTTGTGTAACTGTAGCAGCCTGTACGCTTTGGGTTTCAGATTTTGATTTTTTTTTCTTGCTGGCTTTCACCGATATTCTGAAATTTCTACCTGATGACATCACAGATATCTGCACAACAAGATCACATCTATTTAAGGGATCGAATAATGCAGAGCTGCAAACTCTGAGCAGTGACACCGCCGCACAGAAGCAGCGCCGCTCTTTAGGTAGTGGAATAGTAGAGTCAAAGTGACAAATCCAAACACGACGAGGTGTAAAGTGTCTGACTGGACGAAACATGCCGGGTGTAAGAAAAACTGGAAATAGTAGAACTCTTGAGAGAATCAGAAATGAACAAAACAATTGAAAAGCTGCTTTTTTTTTCAGAAAATGCAGTGTGGACGCTGAGCGTTCAATGACTTGGCTGAAAGTTGCTGAAGAAGCTGAAACCAAGTTGTTAAAGTTAGAACAGAAGCTAAACTGACAAATTCAGATTGAGACTTGAACGTTTAATTTCAAACGAATAAAGTCATACAACACCTTGATAAAAAAACAGACCTTTATTCAGGCTCTGATTATTTTAGCAAAGAATCTAACCAAACGACACATTAAAACAATTTCTCCTGGGCGTCCTGATGCATCTCAGCAGTGTGGTTATCCTAACTGGGCTATTCTGAAAGCAGACAAGAAACCCAAACAGAATTCCAGCCAACAACCAGGTGAAAACGAAAACCCTAAACCCAGACCCAAACCAGTCGTCTTTCCATATGTGGCGGGAGTTTCAGAGAAACGGAGACGTTTATTCTCTAAACATGACGTCTCAGTGGCTTTCAAACCCCAAAACATGTTACAACAAAGATTGGTTCACCTCAAAGAACCAGTTCACCGGCACAAACAGAATAATATTGTGTATGCTGTTAAGTGCCAGGAGGACTGTGATCAGTTAAACATCAGGGAAAAAACAGCCACTGTTCAAAAGAATAAGCCAACACAGAAGAGCTACATCTGTAGGCCAGGACTCTGCAGTTTACACTCATCATCAGGCCAGGACTCTGCAGTTTACACCCAGCTACAGGCCAGGACTCTGCAGTTTACACTCATCTACAAACCAGGACTCTGCAGTTTACACTCATCTACAAACCAGGACTCTGCAGTTTACACTCATTTGCAAACCAGGACTCTGCAGTTTACACTCATTTGCAAAACAGTACTCTGCAGTTTACACTCATCTACAAACCAGGACTCTGCAGTTTACACTCATCTACAGGCCAGGACTCTGCAGTTTACATTCATCTACAGGCCAGGACTCTACAGTTTACACTCATCTAAAGGTCAGGACTCTGCAGTTTACACTCATCTACAGGTCAGGACTCTGCAGTTTACGCTCATCTACAGGTCAGGACTCTACAGTTTACACTCATCTACAGGACTCTACAGTTTACACTAATCTACAGGACTCTGCAGTTTACACTCATCTACAGGTCAGGACTCTGCAGTTTACACTCATCTACAGGATTCTACAGTTTACACTCATCTACAGGACTCTACAGTTTACACTAATCTACAGGACTCTGCAGTTTACACTCATCTACAGGTCAGGACTCTACAGTTTACACTCATCTACAGGCCAGGACTCTACAGTTTACACTCTTCTACAGGCCAGGATTCCGCAGTTTACACTCATCTACAGGCCAGGACTCTGCAGTTTACACTCATCTACAGACCAGGACTCTACAGTTTACACTCATCTACATGCCAGGACTCTGCAGTTTACACTCATCTACAGGCCAGGACTGCAGTTTACACTACAATGTTCTGCAGTTTACACTCATCTACAGGCCAATGTTCTGCAGTTTACACTACAATGTT